ACACAGCGTTAGACAAATTCTCAGTGTTTCAGAGAAATCCGTCGCACTTGATGACTTAGCCGACATGGCGGATAAAATGATGGAAGTCTACCATGATAGTCACGGTGTGAACTCATTGCAACCACCTGGACCACTAAATATTAGCTGTTTAGTCTCCTTTCAAAAGCAGTTAACGCATTTAACGAGCCAGCTAGCGTCTCTGCAATCAACCATAGCAACCATCCAAGCTAGACAAACGAGATCCCCCTCCAGACGAAGATCTTTTTCTAGACAACGGTCTAGGTCACCGAAGCGAACATCTGATGTTTGTTGGTACCACCAAAAATACGGCACCAAAGCACGGCGTTGTACACGACCGTGCACATTTTCTGCCTCCGACACAGAGAATCAGGGAAACGGCCCGGCCAGACAGTGATGGCGGCGCCTGTTTCTGGCCACTACCCGAGCCGTCTATTTCATGTCAGGGATCGAATTTCGGGCTCAGATTTTTTGGTCGATACGGGAGCCGAAATCAGCATTATCCCATTACACCTCTCTCAACGACGGCACCCTCAGAGTACTAAATTGTCTCTAGTCGCAGCCAATAACACAGTCATTAAGACTTATGGCGAACAATCACTTATTTTAGATCTCGGTCTCCGGAGACGTTTCACATGGGTTTTCATCGTAGCTGAAATCAAACAACCCATTATCGGGGCCGATTTTCTCGGTGCTTACAACCTACTTGTAGATATGGCAAAAAAGAAACTAATCGACAAAAACACATGCTTACAGGTCAGTGGCACAACTATCTCCAGTTACGAAATTCATGGAGTCCGTATGTTAAGACCTGAAAACAAAATTTTCACCGATATCCTGTCGAAGTATGAAAGTATAACCAGAGCTGATTACCAAAACGAATGCTCCACACATCATGTCCAACACAGTATTACTACTACAGGACCACCTATCCGCGCCAGGGCGAGAAGACTCCCTCCAAACAAGTTGCAGTTCGCTAAGAGAGAATTCGAACATATGATGCAACTTGGGATAATCAGACAATCTAACAGTCCTTGGGCCTCGCCGCTGCATATGGTTCCCAAGAAAGATCAAGACTGGCGCCCATGTGGAGATTATCGCCGTTTGAATAACCAGACTATCCCAGACCGGTATCCGATACCTCACCTGCATGATTTTTCTTTAAATCTACATGGAAAACAGGTTTTTTCAAAGTTAGATCTAGTCCGAGCATACCATCAAATACCGATGGCACCTGAGGATATCGAGAAAACAGCCGTAATCACACCTTTTGGCTTGTTTGAGTTCTTGAGGATGCCTTTCGGACTAAAAAACGCCGCTCAAACCTTCCAGAGATTTATGGACGAAGTAACTAGAGGTATGGATTTCGTATTTGTCTATATCGACGATGTTTTAATCGCTAGTTCTTCCATCGACGAACATGTTCAGCACCTGCACACACTTTTTGAACGTTTCAAAAGTTATGGTGTTGTAATCAACCCTTCGAAGTGTATATTTGGCGCCTCATCTCTGGAATTCCTGGGACACCACATTGATTCCCAAGGAATTAAACCGCTTGAAGAGAAAGTCAAAGCTATCTCCAGCTATCCAGAACCAACCTCAGTAAAATCACTACGTCGTTTTCTCGGAACATGTAATTTTTATCGACGATTTCTACCAAATTGTGCCGATGTACTTCAGCCATTGACAGATTTACTAAAAAACGATAAATCTGGTACCAAGAAAGAAAAGAACAAAATATTCAAGTTACCTTCCGATGCCAAAATAGCATTTGAAAAAGCTAAATCCATGATTGCTAATGCTACCATGCTCCAACACCTAAATACTGACCCCACAACACTGTTGATCCTATGCACGGATGCTTCACAAAAAGCCGTCGGGGCAGTATTACAACAGCGGGTAAACAACACTATTACCCCCATTGCCTTTTTCTCCAAGAGATTATCGCCAGCACAAGAACGTTATAGTACTTTTGGACGCGAACTCTTAGCTATGTATTTAGCAGTAAAACATTTCAACTTTTTGCTACAGGGTCGTGATTTCATCATTATGACAGATCACAAACCTCTTTGCCATTCTTTTAGCACATCGTATGACAAACACTCCCCACGAGAAGCAAGACAACTTGATTATATCTCCCAATTTACCACAGACATCAGGTTTATCAAAGGTCACATGAACATTGTTGCAGATGCACTATCTAGGAGGGATATCAATACGATGGTACTCAATCATGACATCAGCCTTGAAACCTTAGCTAAATTACAAGCAGACGATGCAGAATTGAAAGCCTGCAAAGAAAAGTCTAGCTTAGATCTCAAACCTGTACCGATTCCTCTTTCAGATACGTTTATCATGTGCGACACTTCAACAGGCAACAATCGTCCGTTTGTCCCACACGCTTGCCGACGAAAAATATTTCAGCATTTACATGGTCTTTCACATCCAGGCATCAGAGCAACAGCAAAGCTCATTACCGAACGTTTTGTGTGGCCTAAAATTAACTCGGATGTTAAACGTTGGACACGTAACTGTCTCCAGTGCCAACGCAGTAAGACGCAAAAACACACCTACAGTCCGATTGGGAAGTTCCCTATCCCTGACAAACGCTTCCAGCACGTGCATTTAGATTTAGTTGGGCCTCTGCCACCATCAAACTCTTTCACACATATCCTCACCGCAATAGATAGGTTCACAAGATGGGCCATAGCATGCCCCATTAAAGACACATCGGCAGAGACAGTGGCTTCAGTTTTCCTCGACCGCTGGATATCCAACTTTGGCGTACCATCAACAATCACAACAGATCGCGGTCCCCAATTCCAATCCGTCCTATTTAACGAGTTCACTAAACTTCTTGGAGTAAATCATGTTAAAACGACAGCTTATCATCCGGCAGCTAATGGCATGGTTGAAAGATTCCATCGCCAACTAAAAAGCTCTCTGATGGCACAACCGGACCCTTCAAAATGGAGCGATGCTTTACCGCTCGTTCTCCTTGGGATTCGCTCGTCAGTGAAGGAAGACATCGGATGCACGGCCGCTGAATTAGTCTATGGCACGACATTAACGTTACCAGGACAACTGGTCAAGAATGAACCCACAACACCAGGAGACCCTTCTCGCTTTGTAAGCAGATTACTACAAATGATGCAGAGCATCAGAGCAATACCACCTCGAGAATATGACAACCGAGTCCATCTTGATAAACATTTAGAAACGTGCAAATTTGTTTTTGTTCGAGTAGACGCGGTAAAAAAGCCACTGACACCACCATATGAAGGCCCTTATAAAGTAATAAAACGCACTGACAAATATTTCATTATCAACAAAAATGGGAACCATGAGACAATTTCTATAGACCGAATAAAACCAGCTTTCTACGAAGTCCCTCAAACCACAGAAGATAATGCTGCGAACAAACAATCACTCCCATCAGTTGCTAAGAAACAAGAGGAAGAGGAAAAACTTAGCACTACACCCTCTTGTTTAACACGATCTGGGAGACTTATAAAAAAACCAAAGCGTTATGTACATTTTGCCATATAAAAAAAAAACAAATAAGACAATCAAAGCAAACAATTATCGAGGACCTACACTATTAATCTCATCTAAAAAATTTTTATTTTCTTTTCACAGTGTTCATAATTAATCACTTTTTTTTTCACAATTATTCGTTTTGCCACATTTTTTTTAAAAAAAAATTGTAACAATAATAAACGGGTAAACTCTTTTTAATTATTTATTCATTATACACAAAAATAAACAGCTCAATTTTTTTTTTGTGTGTGTGGGTTATTAAAAGTTTTACACATTATTATCCTTGTTAGCCAAACAAGACATTAAATGACAGTATTTCCTTTTTTTGTATTTGTTATGCTATGCTACATTATTGCTATTCTCAAACGACAACACACTCCATCTTATTCATGTTTATGTCATATCCATCTCTACAACTCTTGTTGGTTATAACTGTGAATATTATTTTTGTATATACACATATATCATATTCTTACATTTTTTTTATTATAACCAGTGTTACCTCCGGACACTCTGGGGGGAGCTATGTGGAGATAGATCTGACAAGCTTATTTTGTAAATAGTTTTTAATATTATTTGTATTTGTCAATTTCTCACTGAATGTACATTTATCATTAAATGATTGTACCTGTTGTTTAAGTAAATGACCTTGAAGACTTTTTCCGTTGTGTTACTAACATAGCGTGACGTACTTTCGGTGGTTCGCAAATACACTACTACGCGCATACCCATTGTTCTATTCTCGCTCGTTACCGAGTCAATTGTGTTGTAAACTGGATATTATCCTCATTTTAGACTGCTGTGTCATTTGCATTATATCCTACGTCAAAGAAACTTATTGGCGTCATATTTACCTCCGTGGAATTATTACACATTTATAATTGTGGATTTATGGGACCGAAACTCAACAGAAAACGCAGCCACTAGCCGATTTAAGTAACGTCCCTGAACTTTTAATTTGTGTTGTTAATTTATAAATTATTGTTGTTACATTAATTTTGGACGTAATAACTTTATCACTGATTTTTGGTTATTATACTTTTTGGTCCACCACAGGCCTATCTCCAAATAGCTCTCCACAGGGTGTCCGGAGGTAACACTGGTTATAATAACAAAAAATAATGTAAGGATATGATATATACATGTATACAAAAATAATATTTACAGTTATAACTAACAGAAATGTGGAGATGAGTATGACATGTACGTTATTGTGTGAAAATAGCAGAGATGTATCATAGCATAATAAATAAAAAAATGAAAACACTGTCATTTAATGTCTTGTTTGGCTAACAATGATAATAATAATGTGCAAAACTGCTACTGACCCACAAAAAAATGAACTGTTTAGTTTTGTGTACAGTGAATACGTAGTTACTCGTTTATTATTAGAACAACACATATAAGCGAACAATTGTTTCTACTTAGATCGTCATCAGGCTTTACTCTAATATACATGAATATTTGGGTGGAATTGATAGTGCAGGTCATCGATAATTGTTTGCTTTGATTGTTTTAGTTTTCTATACGGCAAAATGTACTTAACGCTTTGGTTTTTTAATAAGTCTCCTCTTCTTCTTGTATCTTAGCAATTGATGAGATTGTTTGTTCGCGGTATTGTCTTCTGTGTTTTGAGGGAATTTGTAGAAAGCTGGTTTTATTCGGTCTATGGAAATTGTCTCATTGTTCCCATTTTTGTTGATAATGAAATATTTGTGAGTGTGTTTAATTACTTTATAAGGGCCTTCATATGGTGGCGTCAGTGGCTTTTTCACCGCGTCTACGCGAACAAAAACAAATTTGCACGTTTCTTAATGTTTGTCGAGATGGACTCGGTTGTTGTGTTCTCGAGGTGGTATTGCTCTGATGTTCTGTATCATTTGTAGTAATCTGCTTACGAAACGAGAAGGGTCTCCTGGCGTTGTGAGTTCATTCTTGACCAGTTGTCCTGGTAACGTTAATGTCGTGCCATAGACTAGTTCAGAGGCCGTGCATCCGATGTCTTCTTTTACTGACGAGCGAATCCCAAGGAGAACGAGCGGTAAAGCATCGCTCCATTTTGAAGAGTCCGGTTGTGCCATCAGAGAGCTTTTTAGTTGGCGATGGAATCTTTCGACCATGCCATTAGCTGCTGGGTGGTAAGCTGTCGTTTTGACATGATTTACTCCAAGAAGTTTAGTGAACTCGTGAAATAGGACGGAATGGAATTGGGGACCGCGATCTGTTGTGATTGTTGATGGTACGCCATAGTTGGATATCCAGCGGTCGAGGAAAACTGAAGCCACTGTCTCTGCCGATGTGTCTTTAATGGGGCATGCTATGGCCCATCTTGTGAACCTATCTATTGCGGTGAGGATATGTGTGAAAGAGTTTGATGGTGGCAGAGGCCCAACTAAATCTAAATGCACGTGCTGGAAGCGCTTGTCAGGGATAGGGAACTTCCCAATCGGACTGTAGGTGTGTTTTTGCGTCTTACTTCGTTGGCATTGGAGGCAGCTACGTGTCCAACGTTTAACATCCGAGTTGATTTTAGGCCACACAAAACGTTCGGTAATGAGCTTTGCTGTTGCTCTGATGCCTGGATGTGAAAGACCATGTAAATGCTGAAATATTTTTCGTTGGCAAGCGTATGGGACAAACGGACGATTGTTGCCTGTCGAGGTGTCGCACATTATGAATGCATCTGAAAGAGGAATTGGTACGGGTTTGAGATTAAAGCCAGACTTTTCTTTGCAGACTTTCAATTCTGCATCGTCTACTTGAAGTTTAGCCAAGGTTTCAAGGCTGGTGTCATGATTGAGTACCATTGTATTGATATCCCTCCTAGATAGTGCATCTGCGACAATGTTTGTGTGACCTTTGATAAACCTGATGTCTGTGGTAAATTGGGAGATATAATCAAGTTGTCTTGCTTCTCGTGGGGAGTGTTTGTCATACGATGTGCTAAAAGAATGGCAAAGGGGTTTATGACCTGTCATAATGATGAAACTACGACCCTGTAGCAAGAAGTTGAAATGTTTTACGGCTAAATACATAGCTAGAAGTTCGCGTCCAAAAGTACTATAACGTTCTTGTGCTGGTGATAATCCCTTGGAGAAAAAAGCAATGGGGGTAATCGTGTTGTTTACCCGCTGTTGTAATACTGCCCCGACGGCTTTTTGTGAAGCATCCGTGCATAGGATCAACAGTGTTGTGAGGTCAGTATTTAGGTGCTGGGGCATGGTAGCGTTGGCAATCATGGATTTAGCTTTTTCAAATGCTACTTTGGCATCAGAAGGTAACTTGAATATTTGGTTCTTTTCTTTCTTGGTACCTGATTTATCGTTCTTCAGTAAATCTGTCAACGGCTGTAGTACATCGGCATAATTTGGTAGAAATCGTCGATAAAAATTACATGTTCCAAGAAGACGATGTAGTGATTTTACTGAGGTTGGTTCTGGGTAGCTGGTGATGGCTTCTACTTTTTCGTCAAGCGGTTCAATTCCTTGAGAATCAATGTGATGTCCCAGGAATTCCAGAGATGAGGCGCCAAATATACACTTCGAAGGGTTGATTACAACACCATAACTTTTGAAAAGTTCGAAAAGCGTTTGTAAGTGCTGAACATGTTCTTCAGTAAAAGAACTAGCGATTAAAACATCGTCGATAAAGACAAATACAAAATCCAAAACTCTAGTTACCTTGTCCATAAATCTCTGAAAGGTTTGAGCGGCGTTTTTTTAGTCCGAAAGGCATCCTCAAGAATTAAAACAAGTCAAAATGTGTGATTACGGCAGTTTTTTCGATATCCTCAGGTGCCATCGGTACTTGATGGTATGCTCGGACTAGATCTAACTTTGAAAAGATCTGTTTTCCGTGTGGATTTAAAGAAAAATCATGCAGATGAGGGGTCGGATACCTGTCTGGGATAGTCTGGTTATTCAATCGGCGATAACCTCCACATGGGCGGCAGTCTTGATCTTTCTTGGGAACCATATGCAGCGGCGAGGCCCAAGGACTGTTAGATTGTCTGATTATCCCAAGTTGCATCATGTGTTCGAATTCTCTCTTAGCGAACGGCAACTTGTTTGGAGGGAGTCTTCTCGCCCTGGCGCGAATGGGTGGTCCTGTAGTAGTGATACTGTGTTGAACATGAACTGTTGGTAATCAGCTCTGGTTATACTTTCATACTTCGACAGGATATCGGTGAAAATTTTGTTTTCAGGTCTTAACATGCGGACTCCATGAATTTCGTAATTGGAGATAGTTGTGCGGCTGACCTGTAAGCTTGTGTTTTTGTCGATTAGTTTCTTTTTCACCATACCTACAAGTAGGTTGTAAGCACCGAGAAGGTCGGTGTCGTCCCATGATTTCTTCATATCCAGTGTTGTCCATTCCAACCTTGGCATTGAAATCTCCCATCAGAATGTTCAGGTCCTTCGTTGGGCACTTCTCGACGATTGACTGCGGCCTATCGTAGAATTGATCTTTAGCGTTTTCTTTGTAGTCGTTTTTAGACGCATAGCATTGGATGACGTTCATTGAAATGCCTTCTTTCTTTGTTTTGAAGGAAGCTTTGATGATCCTTGGTTCATGAGATTCCCATCCTACAAGTGCATTTTTTGCTTGTTTTGACAGCATCAATTCAACTCCTTGTGTAGAGTACAATATCATGTATGGCTTTTAAAATCAGAGAAATAGTGATAGTAAATGTAAACTTATGTTTGTATCATTCCAAAAAGTTGAAATTTGAATAATCCCGACCATTCACCTTGCAGTCTGATCAGAGCTTCGTAAATACTATGTTAATTCGAAGTAAAAAGTATGCCCTTTCACCGAGTATTCAATTTCATCATTATTGTCTATCTGAAGTTGTTAAATGATTGAGAAGAACTGAGATTTAAGCATTAACTTTACTCACCTTTAAAAATTGTGTAAGAATCATCTATAGTTAAACTGTTATACATAACATTTAAGGTTCCAAAAGCCTGTCATATCAATTGTGCATAACTTTTAAGATGATTAGATAATCATAATGCAAGATATTGGATACAAAATGCATGTTTGCAAGTTGTAGTGTGATGAGTTCTACTGATGTCGACAGATATAAGTAGTATGTATCATCAATCGAAAGTGAAATGTCTGGTGGTAGAAGGTTAAGAAGATCGAAGAGAAGAGAAAGAGAATATGAAGTGTTTGGTGTGGAAACAAAGGAACAATCAAGTCTGAGACAATTGACGGGTATTTTGCAGATGAACAATTTACTGTATGGTTCTCAGATTTTGCTAAGATATTCTGTAATTTTGTATTGAAATATATCTGGTTGTTCTCGCTCGTGTTCCCGTTCACTACAGTAGTACTTCAGAATGTTCACCATGATACGAAATGTAGGGAAAGGGAACTCAAGAAACTACAATATGAATAAGTCATTCAAGACTGTTGTGTTTTCAGACTGGCGGTCAGAATCACATTAAAAGCTACCAAAGAGAATCTTGATTCTAATAGGGTCTATTTGGCATCTGTTACTTATCCTATAGCTCGGCGTCTCTTACTTGGTCAGTTAGACGTTCGATCAACACTATTAACCTTGAGTCAACAGCTATGCTTCTAGTTGTCCACCATTCGCAAGCTTTCCACCATTTAGAATAAATTATTGGAATTTCTAAATCTCTGTCGGCCATTTAATATATTCAGTAGAACTCAATACAATGTCACTGATGTTAAGATTTTTAATGATACGTACTCTCCTAATATTAGTATTCCTTTCGTGAATCCTAGTTTTATTAGTTTCTAACGACGAACATCACCAGAAGGGAAAGAATTAATTGTCTAATGTATCAAGTTATTTTGAAATTCACTAACTAGCTATCAAGAACCCTATGAAGAATACTAAATAATAATAGGTTAAATCATTTGTACTGGTTGTTTGATTATTTGCAGTCCAGAACATCAATCAAAAAATTCAAGCAGCTAATAAAAATGAATTAAACTTTACCTGACTGCAAATGTTAATGGTTATCTGGACTATGTAGCTAACTAGATGGGATGATAGCATTTAAAACTTGGTTCGAGCCCCAGATTGAGCATCAATTCTAGGATGCATGTATATCCAGTTGATGGGTCTCAAATAGAACAAAATGAACATCCTAAATTCAACTGCTAGCTATCATCCATCTCTCGTAATAATTGGTTGTATGTAATGGAGAATATTTTACAGTTTGATAGTGCAATTCTATTTCATGTAGAAGAATAAAGTGTAGAATTACAGGTATAGTTCGATGAAAATTATAATGAAAATAGTTTTCACTTGGTATTGTTTACTTGAATCTTCACGTTGATGTTCAGCACTGTAGTTGATCAGTCTCTTATTGGCATATGTGCATACTTTGTATATTTCCTCGATATTGCCTTAATTTACTAGCATTATAAGCAAAGATGGATAGTTGCAGTAGTCACAGTATGCACATATGCCAATAAGAGACTGATCAGTTGCAGTGCTAAACATCGATGTGAAGATTCAGGTAAATAATATCAAGTGAATTTACACTTCATCCCATTGCACAAGCTAGTGGCTATCAGGACTCCGTAACAAAGTGGATAATGCAATAGCGTTTGAAGCGAACAGTACTGGGTTCGAGTCTAGGAGTGAACATCAACTCTGAGATGCAGTTGCATCCAGCTGACGAGTCCCAAATAGGACGAAACTTACATGCACAGGTAAAGTATTCTCGTAAGATAATGCTTCATCTATAGGAACCTAAAAGTAGAACTTTTGTAATAATCATGAGGAATATGACATTCTTACAGACAAATCCATGATAAATAAACACATTTTTGAAAAGAATATGAAGATCCTGAGTTTGAACCTTAGTAGGATTGTGGATGTACACTACTGTTATTGGTATGGAGCTACAAAGAAACTTGAAACTTTGGTAGTTATCCCTTGATGAATTCGTTCTCTAAATGTTAAACAGTAGATATTTGTTAGATATTTATTTTATTCTATTATTATATGTAATCCTAATTATGAGCTTTTTTGAACCCGATTATCATTGTTATTACTTTGTTTAACATTCATTGATTATCTTCCATTGACTGATATAGATCTATTACTTACAGATTGTGGTGAGTTGTTGTTTTTTCATTTGATTTACATAATCATATGAGTTATGATTTTGCATTAAAACAATTTACTTGTGACTATTCATACAAATTTCTATTGTTTTTTAATTCACATTTTAAGGAAGGTGGAAATTTGCATGATCTATCAATCGGATTATGTATACAGTAAATGAGTTAGGGGTAAACATAAAAATATAACTCATGATGGTAACACGGGATTGAATTCCTTCAGGGAGCATCAGTTTCCTCGAGATTTCAGTTACACCTTGCTGACGAGTGCCAAATAGCACGAAATCCAGGTCCAGGGTTTCTTGTTGACTACCTCCAACCACCATCATATTTCAAGAGAGTGCACGCAATGTCCAGTCACTTAGACTAGTGGCCACATTGCAACTTGATCGATAACATTCGATCTGCATTATGAAAGACCTGACACACATGACATCGATCACCACTCAGTGATCAATCAATTGTGACTCATGATGTATTTTCAATAGTGATTAGATTAATATTAAAAATAATACTGAATTCTACTTTGTTGAATCGAAAAATTGATCTGATTATAGTGTTATCTTAGATCATATAAACCAAACCATTACTATATGAGTGGTGACTATCATATCGCATAATTCTTAACTAGGTCTAATTACTATTGCTTAATTTTTGGAATTTAGTTTTTTGAATTACCTGATCCAAAATAATATTTTTCATATAATAAATGGATTTGTGATTAACAGTGAAATATAGAACGAGCGTCTTCTCTTATTCTAGACTCATCAGCTGGATATGTCTGTACTTGTGTCAAATATTTACACCGAGACTCGAACCTACTATCTTTTCACTTCAAAGACTGATCATAATGTATTTAGGATTATCAAATAAGGGAAATTTCGAGTCTACTTTAACAAGTATAAGGACATCGTACTCGTTGCACAAGTGTGTGGCTGGCTATCTGGACTCAGTAGCTCAGTGAATTATGCGTTGGGATTTTGAAATGAAAAGTATTGGATTCAAGTCTCAGTATGAATATGAACACTGAGATACAGGCATATCGAGCTAATGAGTCTCAAATAAGATGAAACACTCCTCCAGGATTCCACTGCAAAAATGCCTGTATTGAGACAATCTGTACAGGATGTACAACTTCCAGTGAAAGCTGATCAAAATTCTGTCCAGATCACTAATGGTTGAATAATTCATATCCTCTCTAATAAGTATTTTTTATGTTGGATAGTTATTAGCAATAGGTAAAAGGTTCCAGATGTAGATTACTTGCCTACGGACACACAATCATTATCATTGATATTTATTAAATCTACCTGAGGATTCATATCAAACTGTTTAATCAAGCACAAAATCCGAAATCTAAACAAAATATTTGTCTATATAACAGCACTACTATTAGTAGTGATGCATTTTACAAACGTTAATTCTGTATGTGTCTCTATGGTCTATAGGTGTCAAAATATGATTGAAGAAGAAACAATTCCTGCAGTAGTTATGTAAGAACTATTTAAAAATATATACAGTAAACTAAGTAACAGACAGAAGGTATATCAAGTAAGCAATGAGAGGAGGAAAATGAATATGAATAGTTTAGTTATTTAACAATTATATGATAAAAATATACGTTTACTATTAGTTCATAAAATGATCCCAAAGTTACCATTCATTGTGTTTGTCAGGACCTAACAGTAAACACTTAGAAAATTCACATAAACTAATGAAGATGTATTATAAGTAAAGGGGTAAGATTATAAGAACCGAGATAAATTTTCAGTTAAATATTAACCAATAATAAAATAGTCTTTGTATCTAGGTAGTTTATAAGAAACATAACAGTTGGATTGCAAACGTAAACAGATTTTACACATTCAATGAACCTATTAAAGTATTTCACTGGTTAATCTGCCTGTGAAAAGATAAACTAATGACATAAATTCGTCTTTATAGATATGAATTATCTATCTCCTCAAATCCTTATAACGACCCAAACGGAGTTTCAAAAATCCGCATGTTGTTCTTGATTACGGTAATGTTTTAAAGGTATGAATTAGAAGTTCACTGTCAGTGTTTTATCACAAACTGACATCAGCTATGATGCAAAAAATACTTTGTAACCATATGAATGGATGAATGAATTTAGAGTAAAAATGCGAGAAGCTCTATCTGATTAGTTCGTCTAATAAAATATACTGCCACTAGGTTAATGCTCGTCTCAGAACTATTGGGGTTCATAGGAAGAAGTAAGTGTTACTGGAAAATTGAATGTTATATGTAATAAACAATGACAGAATTATTATTATTATTATTATGAATGACTTTGTTTACTATTATATTTTTGGTACAATATAGAATTCTCGATACAAATTATTTCAACAGGTTTCCTTTTCTTATTTCTTGATCGATCCTGACGATAAATATTGAAATCTTGTAGTCAGACTGGGCAATTGTCTGGTGAATCGGTAACTAGTATTCTTAAGTTGTGATTACATCACAATCGCGATATATGTTTAGACTTAATAGGAATTGAAGATAGTCCACCTTGTTAATCAGTGATCGTCAGTTAGATGTTAGCAGTTCAGGAATCAACATCTGAATGATATTCATTCTTTTCAATGCATATTGTGAACCACCACGATGTCTCTGACTGTACAGCTAAAGGTCGTAAATTTCATGAATGACCCTGAATAGGTTATGCGATTAATAGACATAATAATGTGTTAAAACAAACAAAAACAGATAACTTGTTGAAATATCTAGATGGTAGGAACAAGTAGTCCAGATATTCAAGTAGGCCACCAATAAATTGAACATCCAATACGTTCAATATTAACATTTTTACTTTATAGTGCCAAAAAGTAATTCTTCCCAATCGTTTGAAATGTTTTGAAAAATGTAAAGAGGTATTTCTAGTACTCGTTACAAACGGTATAGGAATTTCAGGCAAAGACCTCATAGTTCAGTCCTCGTTATTCATTGGCTCGTCTCTATATTGTACATTTACTGGTTTTATTCTCAAAAATGATTAATAATTATATTCGTTACCAAATACCGTATAGTTAATAGTTAAGTGTTTAAGTACCAAACATTATTTGTAGCTCCCGATGTATTTCTATAACTATCCAGTGGGTAATATTGATGGCACCTGTCCTCTTATCAACAAACTGAACACACAGTCAGACACAACATGTTTTAAATATACGGACTCATTTTAAATCTGATTACTAGTAAGTGTGCATTTTTTAACTTGCAGGATAGTTTGTGGATAAAATAGATTACTTCATTGATTAAAACAATAACTCACAGAGGATACTGAATATTGATGCTATTATAGTGTATGATACTGATGTCGACAGATAAAAGTGGTATATATCATCAGTAAAAAGTGAAATGTCTGGCTGCAGAAAGTTGAGAAAATCGAAAAGAAGAGAACGAGAACAGAGAGTGAGTGGTATGGAAACGAAGGAACAACAAAGTCTGATGGATATTTGATGGAGTTTTGTCCTCTTAGCTGGATGGTCTGGTCGTGGAACTTTCTCATCGTTATTCTGAACTACGTCATCAGCACAAACTTCATGTAGAAGTGATGTGTCTATCCACCTGAGCTACAAATCTTCTCCACCATCTCGAAGTATTCACTCTACGGTTCTCAGATTTTACCAAGAAATTCTGTAATATTGTATTAAAGTACATTTGGTTGTCCCTGCCTGTGTTCTCGTTCACTACATTATTACTAGAATTATCTAAAGTTGGAAATATAGACAATGAAATCTCAACTTACTGATCTAAAAGTAACATCTTTACTAAAAGACCAGAAAATCTTCAGCTCAACTCCGTATAGCATTGTGAATGGTTACAATTAAAAAGATCTTAAACTAGGACGAAACAACGTAACAGTAGATTTTTTAGTTTCCTTTGTTTCTTCAGAGAAACTCAACTTGTAAAAAAATTTAATTTTAACTCTAGAAATTTTTTAGAATGATACAACCATAATTATTGAACTTATCACAAAACAATTACTACTTTCTTTTAAATTTAAGCATTAATAAAAGTTCAAGGTAGATGAAGATAATCAATTTAAAAAGTACACACTCATCACGTGATACGAATGATAAAAACTTATTTTCTACCTGATATTTGTTACCTTAGTTACTAGAAAAACCAATACAATAATGGTATTCAGATCACATTACCATTTATATTGATTAATTCCTAGTGAATTCTGTTATAATAATTGGATTTATAAGTCAACGTAAGCTAGACCATCAACAAAAACCTGGAAACATTGGACGGCCGTTTCTTCATAGTACGGGACTCCTCATCAACACGCATCAATGATCCTGTCCACAGGACTCGAATCCGGGACCTTTGGTCTTTCCTGCAACTGCTTAACCTCTAGACCACTGAGCCGGCATCCAATAGTATTAATGTCTAACTTCAATAGATCCATGATCTTGCGAAGCCCTTCATCTGTTGTTTGAAGTAAGTAACTCTCTCAATACTAAGAAGAAACGGCCATCCTGTGTTTCCAGGTTTTCGTTGATGGTCTAGCTTATATCGACCCATGAATTCAACTATTGAATTTACTAAAATCTCAACGAGCCATTATTTTAATTCTGTTTTAATTTGAATTTTTATGAGTAAAACTATTCTTGTAAAAGATATTAGGTAAAATGATCAATCAATAATTTATTGAATAGTTTACAAATAAATATCATTACAACAGTATATCTCTAAGTTAAGATTATACTTGGAATGTGTACTGTGATTTTTATTATTCATCTGAACTACTCAGTAGAAGTGCTTGACAATAGTACTGAATAAACATTCCAAGTTTATGAGGGATATTGCATAAGATTGTAAATATGCATGGATATAAAAAAACAATAAGGTTTAGTCTGATAAGAATCTAATTGTAAATGGTTGAGTCACAATAAAACCTTTGCGAGGCTGATGTATGTCAGTTTGAAGTAATGTGAGTTCCTAGATCTTGTTTTGATAATACTGATAGCCGCTACTCTGGTACTGTATACACTAAGGAACGATTAACTAAGTAAACGTCATCTATTCTTTAGCCATTGATTAGAACCAGTATGGCCAGCTTCATGGCGTAAATAATGTAGTTATATTTTTTTTAAGTAGGTTTAGAAGTTCCTATGGTGTGACGTTTTCTTTTTGAATGCCTCTGAACGAAACTGAATATATGGAACTAGAATTCCATTCACTTTGTTAAAACAAGAAATCAAACGTCGTAGGATATTTCTATGAATACAATACAGAATACTAGTTTAATTTTATCTACGAAAATCTTAAACTGTGAAGGTTGTTTGTCTTTTTCCATTGGTTTATTTAACCAGTCCTAAATACTATCTTTTGTATTTATTTTAACCAATAACTGATCATACGAATGACCTTGTAAAACAAATCAATTTATTATTAGTTAAGTCTTAAGAGCTCTCATTTTAATCGAATCACCTTGATAGATGGATCCGAATCTTTCAGATCTTTCAGCATGGAACATACGTAATCCCCAGCAACCTAATCCAGGTTATCCTGATATGTCTTCTGTAGGTTATCCGGGAATAACTCCAGGAGGATATCCAGGATATCCTGATTCGTCTGGGGGTTTATCGAGTTCAAACACAAGTACATATCCAGGAATGTCATCTGGAGGATATTCTGACCTACCGTCAGGAGGTTTCGCAAATTTAAACACAACTGCATATCCAGCACCTATAATGGGTGGGTTCGATGGACAGTCAGGAGTAAATTTCAATAACACACCTTTCGGTGCTCCTAGTGGTTATCCCGATCAGCGTTTGAACAACCCAACTGCTCCATTTTCAAGCCAACAAGGTTATACAAATCCTTCTTATGGCAATAATCCATCTGCTACATCATATCTACCAGGTACAACCTCATTCAATATCGATTATGCACGTCAAATGCAAAGTCCTTATATTTCTGGGAATCCCAATTCACAAAATCTCCACACAGATTATTGCCCAAATATACCACCATCAGGTGGAAGTTCATTTGGTAGCAACCCAGTGAACACGAATCAAGGATCTGTATATCCGATGTTTAACGATTTCCCTACTCCGATTTCATCTCAATCGAATGAGTTTTCTGTCTCATGCAGAGTTTATGGGTTTGCTGAATCAGCTCCACACGAAGATATAGTATGTTGTCATTATTATTATTATTATTATTATTATTATTATTATTGTTATTATTATCATTAATATTGTTATTGCTATTAGTTGAATAATTAGTTTCGTTCGAACAGCTCTCAAGTCATTTTCATTGACTGTTCAATGAATTAACTGTGCACATAACTTTTGAGTCACAATCCGAATTTATTTTACTTGTGTGGTGTATAGGTTACAAATATTTCCACTACTTTCCTCTTCATGACTTCATGGCCTATCGATTTGTGAACGTTGGTGGATTTCATGAATTTCATGTCCTTCTTTCCCATATCTTTTAATTTGTTGAGATTTTATTTAAGTGAGTGGATTGGTCGAGTGAGGAATTGGTCGACTTAGATAATCTGGAAATACGAACATCATTGTGGGAGATATTTTTATGAACAGACGTAATGTACAACACAAAGCTCCCATAATACCTGACCATATTTCCAGTCGATTTTTCATTTCTTACTTGATGTAGTTTGAAGAATTCGGCGTGTTTTTTCTTCAATCAAAGCAGTAAATTATCATAACTCAGACAAATGTTGGTAGGTATTTCAGTCTATTTATTAATTTTGTATAAATTCTTCAATATAGGCATGTCGTTGCAAATATACTAGACTGCTGTTGAGTAATGCTGAGTTGTCAGATAGTCGTCACATGTGTTTACAGAGTAGTTTCGAATTTATTTTTATCACATAATGCGATATTAATCACAGCTGTTCTAATGTGATAGATAATTAGAAGCATTCGAATTGATTTGCTAACTAGGAATTCGCGAAATAGTGCAATTTAAGACAGGTGGAACCAGATGAGCATAACTGTATGTATTACATTAGTAATTCGTAACGAGCGCGCAATCAAGTACAAATGAATCATCGGTTAGTACAAACACCAATTCTAATTACGATCAGTCGACTGAGATCACCTGAATTATCTAGATTGGATATTGTAGGCTATCGAAATTACCACTAATTTATATTGTTGGGTTATTTATTGTGAATGTGAATAAGATTGTTTGTATTATATGATTGTCAAAAGTTTACCTCAACTGTTATGTAGTTGTGTAGTTGTTAACATGGAAGTAACATTAAAAGACACATTTCTTCATACTATCTATCCATCTCGTCACTTTTTCTGTATTTTAAAATCATTACCATTTGTACATCTCAGAAGTGAGAGAAGGTCTGTAACAGATTATTATAATGTTAACAAGAGTTTTTGAGATGATTATTTTATTCAATTCCACATGACCAGTGAGTTGAATTTGCGTATATACTGTACAATCATTTGAATGAATGTGAGGAACAAAAGCAAAACTAAACGATTTTTAATCTCTGGAACGATTGATGAATATAGGGATCTATTGAACCCTACTGGTGAATTATAAATTCCTGTTACCGTTATAGGCTTTTTCCCTCATAAATTCTATTCACTGGTATACTATTATTTTCAGTGAATTCACATTATTCTGGTGTTATTTCGTTTTAATTTGTCAGTCATTAATTTAAGTGAGCAATAAATGTTCAATAAACACCAACAACGCTGCAAATCATTTTACAGCTTACCTATTTATTGATATCGAATCAATTAATTTTAGATGGAGCCAACTTTAAAAGCAGCACCTAATTTTTGTGTTGAACGAGACTGTGAACGTTTAAAAAAGGCTATGGCCGGATTAGGAGCAAATGAAAAAGAGGTCATCGAAGTAATGGGTCATCGATCTGTTGATCAACGTGTAGCAATTGTACAAAAATATAAATCAATGTATGGAAAAGATTTATTTGCCAAATTTAAATCTGAATTACATGGTCACTTAGAAGACTGTGTGATCGCGTTGTGTTACTCACCAGCGGAATTTGATGCTATTGAACTTCGTAGAGCAATGAGAGGAGCTGGTACTGATGAAGATGCACTGATTGAAATTCTTTGTTCAAGGACAAATGAGCAAATCAGAAGAATTAAGGATATTTATCCAAAATGTAAGTTATTGGTTTATAAAATCATCAAATATATTTTATATTTATTCTCAAAATTAAGATTGTTGTGAACTACTGAACATAGTCAGTAGATGAAAGAAAGATTTACTGTGATTAATTTTTAATTATTCAAAAATTATTTGCTATTTTCCGGTGTATTTGATCCCATTTAAAAAAATACTTAGAGAATATAAACTTGGATCATCTAAAGAATCATTGAAATATAAGGAGTCACCTGGATTTTTCCACTTTACAACTCATCATTATTTACATTCCTTGTATTTTCAATGCCCTTCCTAGGATCCCTGTCTTAGATAATAATTTATCTTTACTAAAATTTGTAAATAAAGTTCAATATCACTTATGTCCATAGAGAGTGATGAAGTGTAGCACTGAATATCAACAATGGGAAAATACATACTCTTATAAACCCTATAGTCCAGTTATATTCACTTTCCTTATTAATGTTTACATCCAACCTTATAGCATTGGAAAAACAAGTTTTGTCTAAAGAAATTGTCTAGTACGAACCAGTAGTTTTTACTCCTGTTATAAACATGGTTTAAAGTAATTGAAAAATGGCTACCACCCCTGGGTGGGCTCGAACCACCAACCTTTCGGTTAACAGCTGAATGCGCTAACCGGTTGCGTTAGACATTAACACCGTCGGATGCCGGCCAGCACAGTGGTCTAGTGGTTAGGCGTTTGTGTGCAAGACTGATAGGTCCCGGGTTCGAATCTTGTGGGGTGGAGGCGGGATTGTGTATGCGCCCTGCTGAGGAGTCCCACAATAGGACAAAACGGACGTCCAGTGATTCCAGGTTTTCCGTGATGGTCTAGCTTCAACTGACTCATGATCTCAACTATTAAAATTACTATAATATCTACAAAATCCCCTTCAGATACGAATTGAGTAGTCTTAAATTGGAACAAAACAATTATTCAATGTTCTTTGATTCTCCTTCTGATATTAATTTCTGGGGAAAACCAGTTTCACACTGTGCGCATCTCTTCATCTTTTGTAAGCTTATTGACATACTTCTCAAGCGTCGGTACGACCAATCTAATAAACTATATAAAGTTTTGGGAATAACTAATAATGACAATACAATATTATATATATATATATATATATATATATATATATATATATATATATATATATAGTACGTAGAATAGAGCTATTCATGTGACGTCATTGTGTCATGGTTATTAAACCTTATTCTCCAATCAGTGTTACATATGCATAACTTTGTACTTTGTATTATCGATCAACAATTACATTTTTGTCAAATCATCTATTTAGTGTTCAATTTCATAAAAACCAATCATATTAACTAACAACTTAGATAAACTCATAATATTGAATAAACTTAATGTTGAAATAGTATGAAGGTCACTTATTTTATATGTATTAAATAAAGGGTAATGGATGTTTAATGGTAATGCGCTAACAATAGTCCATCTACTAGATAAAGGTGCTTGATTGTTACCTACCTTTCATCCAAAATATTTTTTTAAAAAAGCTATAATTTCTTTCAGACACTCAAATAATTTATAGCAAATCAGTATACTCAGAGAGGGGTTTTGTGGAGATTTTTAGAAATTTCAATCGTTGAAATCATGAGTCAGTTGAAGCTAGACAATCATGGAAAACCTGGAATCACTGGACGGCTGTTTCATCTTAGCATGAGACTCCTTAGCAGTGCGCATTCACGATCAATATGCAATAGAATGAATACTAACTACTACGTTCAAATTGATGTGTACTAATAAAAGGACAGATTTATTGAGTGTGTACATAGATTGGGAGTAATATCGATTGATGAGGTGAATAAATCTTGCTACTTCCTTAAATCGTGGCTTATTTAGTAGTTACAACAAATTTAAGTCCTAATATGACATTTCTGGGTGAATAACAGAAATATTGGACAGTTGTTCTGTGTGAACATTCTCTGACCTTGTTATACTTAGCTTTTCTACTGACTTATACTAATCACAACCATAAAACTTTTCGGATATAAATAATAAATATATTTTCATGATGTATGACTGTTCGAAATGGGATGGCTTATTGATTCTCATTCGATATTGATAATTCAAAGCATTTCACTGGATATTAGGTACACCTACCTATGCATATAAACTTTAATTAGCATACATTTATTTATTTGAACTTCGTAGATTAGTGAAACCATAGTAATTCTTGAATTTTTGTCATTTACGCAGTGGATTTTTGTCAATCTTTATTTGTGTTATGTTTGACATTCTTACGACTGCGAAATACTTGACTGAATTGTGCTTGACCCTGAATCCGACGATGAGTAGTGAAAACCAAAGACTGTTGATAATGATTTATTTGATTCATAAATGATAAGTGAATACACCACTTTTATATTATTTGCTTACAGTTAGACTTGTGTAAATTGAACTGTGCAGTATTTAACACTGATTAATATGGCATTTATACGAACTAATGATTCCTTTGTACTTGATTGCGCGCTTATTACGAATTACAAATATAATATGTTCATTTGTGCCCATCTAGTTCGATCTGACTTAAATTGCAATATTTCGGGAAATCGTAGTTACCACATTAATTCGAATACTTTTAATTATCACAATTAATCAATAACTTATTATATGAATACTCATTTGGAATATCATTCTGATCGGTTTCACACCGACTAAACTTTGTTCATTTAATTCTGTCTTACCAATTTGTCTATTTTCCACGTTTATCCACAAAGCAAACATGAGCTGCTTAAATTCCCTTGTAAGAATTAATGATACTACTCGTCTACGAATATCAAAGCGAAGTGAAAGTTAATATCTCAACCACCAAGTCACTGCTTTACAATGAGTTCGGTATGTATATGATCCATTTATCTGATTTATCGTTAATCCTTCAAAAGGCTTCTCATATTGGTACCACTCCTTGATGAACTTGAGATATGTATAATCCGTTTAACGGATTTATTGTTAATTATTCTGTCGTCCTGCCGGAGACGTGGCTTTGCACTTTAGAGGCGTCCCAGTGATTCTTAGATTTCAATTACTATTTTATTTAGGTCAGTCAGTCGTGTAAACTATAAATTGTTTCTTCTCTTAAAACTACTAGCTAAATTTTTTTTATATAATTTTAGTGCTAAATGGACGTAACTTAGAGAAAGATGTTGATAATGAAACTACACATCATTTTAAACGTATATGTATTGCTTTGCTGCAAGCAAATAGAGATGAATCTACATTTGTAGATACGAATCTTGTACGGAGAGATGCGGAAGATCTATATAGAGCAGGGGAGCAAAAAATAGGAACAGACGAATCAAAGTAAGTGTATTATTTTCTAAGTCAGTATCAGTATAATGAAATGATCTTATAAATTTTCAGTATTCTGAATTGAGAAAAAGAATTAGCTGACATAAATAGGATTCTTATACCATTGTATTAGTAATTGTGACCACTCACAATTATAAATCAGAGTTCATTTTAATTGAATTTGACTTTATGTAACTGAAAGCACGCTCTAATCATTATTGATTTGTGATATAATAGAGAATTATAACGGGATTAATGTTGATAAGTCTTGTTGATTGAACGCTATATTCGTTTCCTAAGCTATTCTGGTAACCCGCAAGCTAGAACTACACAGCGACCTGAACACCAGAGAGAAGACACAAAGTATGAGAGAAATGCTTTACTCCAAGGTTCACTTTTGTACAGAAAAACACGGGTATTTATAGATATTAACATTTGTTAAATCAACATCACATTTCGGCCAATTTGTTAACGACATATTATGCTACTGATTAATAGTAACACGCCACGTTGGAAGTCTGGAAAGCTCCATCATGCTCTGACTGGCTAGGACTCTTCGGCTCCTTTTGGGCCTCTGGAGGCTCCGTTGAAGTTCTCGGAAAGCCGACTCAACAATAACCCCGAATAAGATTTTTCCTAGGATCTACTTGTAGCTTGACAACTGGGTTGCGGTGGCGTGTCATTATTCTTGTCGTCTGTCTTGTACAAGGCTTCTTTTCGGTGTGCTTGGGTATGTGTAGCATTGGTGTATCTAAGATTAACTCTAACGGAAAATTCGGCCGGTTATTTCGAGAAAGCATCGTTATTTTGTCCTTATAGATTTATGTGTCGTGTACATGTTCCAAAAGTTCCTCGGACTCCGTACAGTACTTTTCCCAATTTTTGTACATCTTCTCCTGGCTCCCATCGGTTCTTCCCGATGTAGGATTTAATGAAAACTTTGTCGCTAACATTGAAGTTCCGGATATTTGGATTGTGATTGCGCTCATTCACTAATTTGGATGACAACATGGCGTTGAAGACAGTTCGAATACGCCTTCAGAACATGGCTTCAGCAAGAGACTTCCCATCTGGAACATTCGGGTTCGGGGTGGATCTGTGGGATGTTAAAAATTTTGTGATTATCTGTCCAGTCTTCCCTTTGCCTCCCCCTTTCAGTAATGCTCGTTTAAAGGTGTCCACCAAGCATTCTGCTTGTCCGTTTGATTGCCGATGATAGGGTGGAGAACGAAGATGAGTTATTCCGTTTGCTCTACAGAAATGCTTAAACGATTCTGCGGCGAATGCGAGCCGTTATCCTTTACTAAGATCTCTGGAACACCGAAGCAGCTAAACAGCGTAGACAACTCGTGGATTGTTTCTGATGTTGTACAATTTAGCATGTTATATACTTCCGGCCATTTAGTAAATGCATCTACGATGATTAGAAACATTTTTCCTTGGATTGGACCAGCAAAATCTGCGTTAAGTCTTACCCAGAGTCCTGCAGGCTGAAGATGGCACATTCATTCAGTGTTTGACAACGCTTTCACCAGTAACACCTTCTAATATAACTCGTACCCACCAACAGAAATCAAAAGACAGAATCGAGGAGATCGGAAGAGTGTATTTGGCGATAACCAATATATCGGAATTCTCTGATCTAATCTGGCTAGCGATTGAGGTAGATGTTGAGCATGGCGTTCCCACACGTGATCTGGTGCGGATGCCTGACCGAGAGCCCTCAGCTAGGTGAGTCCACTAAAACTAATCCGGTCAGCATCCAATGTCGAAAACTTACAGAGCTACTTATTTTGGGGATTTATTTACCGCCACAAGGCGTTGGCCAATACTGAGGTTCGCATTTCAAAGGATTTTTAGCGGCTTGAATGCATGATGGACAGTTATGGCATTTATTCTCGATATCTTTGTCCATTAACTACGAGCCAACGATTTCATTTTATTGATTCCAGGATGGCCACTGTGAAACTACTTGAGAACCTTGTGACGTAATAACTTTGGAATAACAATTCGATCACCGAACACAATACACGAGTCGACAACCATTAGTGAGTCCTGTCGACGAAAATATTGCAAAATTTCCCTGTCAAGGCGATTGTCTGGCCATTCGGTCGAGAGATAGCATTTAACTGTGCTCAATGTCTTATCACTTTCAGTGATCTTCTTGACAGTTTCAAAAGTTACTGGGAGTCCACTGATTGCATCACCCAACACGCGATGAACTTCTTTCTCAGCTTTTATATTTGCTACAAGAGTTAGCAGATCTTTGCTTTCATCAGATACCGGAATTTGTAGATACGCGTCTGATAAATCCAAGTTCGCAAAAAACCTGCCACCGTTCAGCTTAATGGAAAGATCTTCCGGTAGGGGTAACGGATACTGGTGAGACTCTATAGCTTCTTTTAATCCCGTTGAGTAGTCTGCACATAGACGGACACTTCCATTCGACTTCGTGACCAACACCCATTTCCTGAAGTCGTTGTAATTCTTGTTCAACTATTGGAAGAGCAGCATACGGTACAGGTCTTTTGGGTCGAAAGACGGGAGTAGCTGCGAGTTTTAGGGTTAACAATGCTTTGGCCTTCGTACAATCCCCCAATCCTTCTTTAAACACGTTTTGGTGTCTTTGTAGCACGGAGTTTCTAAGGCTCCACTCTAAGGTGTTGTCAGTTCTGATTCGTCTTCATATGCTGCTAGAAGAATGGTCTGCTAGTTTAAGTGTTTCTATAAGACCTAACCCCATTAAGTCGAGTGCTGGCGTCTTTGTAAGATATACTGTTGCATTCGTTGTTACAGTACCTTTAGAAATAGTGCATTGCACTGTGTGCCAGTTGTATTGTTGGGAAAACTGTGGGTCTTCCAATTTTCTTCCAAGTTTCTGGGTTGATTAAGGTGATATCGGAAGCTGTATCAAGCTGAAGGTGAGTACGGTGTTTATCAATATTTAAGGCTACGTACTTTCTTTGGCGGCAATTTCGTGTTTGATTATGTGATACCAATATTCCTTTTGTTAATACGCCAGACCTGTATTTCTCGAAGTAGGGTTTTGCAGAATATCGTTTATGGGTTTTTTTCTGAAGCTGGTTTCTATATGACCCTTCCGATGACACTGCAACAATGTTCTTTATACGGGCAGAACCTTTTATAGTGTCATTCTCTACATGACCAGCATGGAGATGATGGTTTGTGGCTGTCATTACGATAATTCTGCGTGCTGGAACCTTGTGATACTATTCTCTCGACTGCATTGACGTTTGGGAAACGGTTACCGTTCTCTACCATTGAGGTATCATGCTTCAAGTTCACTAACCTTTGGGTCTAAACTGAACATCCCAGCTGTTGTACGGAAGTCAACTGGTGATCTGGTCGCACAGTCTACCCCCGATAACGTCCGTCTGGTCATCAAAGAGCCAAGGATTCGTAAACGTGCTTCGACCCCCAAACAACAAGGTGCTAAACCTGCAGATGCGTTCATGAACACACCGGAAAACCTGGGATAACAATAACGGTTCGTGATGACTCTCTCATTGTCATGAACTTCAAAGACAATCCTGACCTTCCTCTCAGTTTGCAGGACAAAAATGATAGGATGCTCTGGGGAGAATTGAACAAGAATACAGCCTTTGACAGTCACACGGCTCACTCGGGGAAAGGAATCTAAGCATCAAAATCACCCGAGGCTACTTCGTGTAACACTTAAGAATGCTACCGACGTAGAGGATGTCTTACTAGCGAGTCATTTACTGAAATCAGATGGGAATGTAAGAATACTGCCTGATATATCGTATTCTGAGCGCAATCTCTTCCAGAACATCCACAAAGAATCTCGCGATCAGTTTTTCCGCGGGAGGAATATAACCGTGCAAGGTATACCGGAAAATACGGACCCTACTCAATCAAAGACTGACATCAGGGAATGGAAATTCATCAAACAGTCCTTGAGGCTCAAAAACATACTGACTCAGCATGTGACGAGACTAGCCAAGAAGGACGGTGATTCTAGACCCCGTCTAACGAAGATAACCTTCCCATCTTCACACATGGCGGCCGCAACCCTGGAAGCATTTCGTGTCAACAGACGTCGGTTGCCAACTGGAATCCAGATGCATCCGGATAGGCCATACAAAGCTAAGACCAAACACAAAGGCAAGTTGGAGCTGACCATTCCACTTGTGGACTGTCTAGACGATAAAAGAACGTGTAAAAGACAGGGCCTACCACCTCGGCGAACCTCATATAAGTGGGCTACCTGTCCATTCACGTAAGGCTCATACAGACAAACAGGACGAAGCTCACGCGTTCCAAATTGAAAGCGTAAACTGCTTATATATGAACGCCGCGAGTCTGCCAAACAAATTGGATGAATTACGTGAACTTAGCAACGCTAATGAGGTTATAGCGACTCACGTGCAAATGAGTTTATTTTCATTTAACCCAGTTAAGCTCTTTTTGTTAACTTATTTAGCGGACAAAGCCATCCGCGCTATAACAATTTATTGTATCCTTATTATTATTTTGCGCTTGTATGAAATACGTATGCTTGAATATTGATTACTGCCTACGGATTTATTCACTCTGCTAGTCTTACCACTAACCGCTTATTCGATTCGATTACTCATTCATTTCACATGGTATATATATGTCCATGTTATTCATATTGAACGCTCAATCATTCACTCGCTCACACGGTCTCGTCACGCTCTTGCTCTGGCTCTCGCTCGCTTGCTTGCCTTTCGGCACAACTCTTCTATGCTTGTTTAACACATCTGTACATTTGGATATATGTGTGTGGTCTCGCAATAAACGTAATCAACACTTCGTATTTGCCTTCTGATTAATATACCGTTGATACGTTATGTAGAACGGTTATCACGACGAACTGTATACGAAGTTTAAGGATTATATCGAATACCGACCACTACATAATTGGCGACCCCGACGGGACTCGAACCCGCAATCTTCTAATGAATACGTGAGAGCTGTTATGCAGTTCCTGTGGTATGAATACTCGT